CGAGGAAGGGGGGGAAAAAAAAAAAAAAAAAGAAAAAGAGTGAGAGACCATTACAAACGGAGAAAAAAAAAAAAAAAAAGCCCCAGAAAAGGGAACGTCACATCCCCTTGACCCTCCAATCACCTCGGGGTCCCATTTGATTGGAAGGCGGCAAAGGCTTTAATCTCAGACTAATTCAGCTGCTTTTGAAGTGAGTTTCTTTGCCAGATCCCGGGCTGGATGGGCAGCGGCTCGCATCACAGCTGAGCGGCGGAGGCGAGCGCTCCGCTCCGCGCCAGCCGGGGGAGCCGAGAGCGGCCGAGGGGGACCGCGGCACACGCTCGCAGCCCCCACCCCCGCCCCCAGCACAGCCCAAGGATTACTCGGCTTTTTTTTTCCTCCTTTTTCTCTCCGGCCGGCTCCCCCTTTCCCTCCCCCTCCCCACCCACGCCCTCCCCGCCAGAGAGAGCCACGGGACGTTGTATGTTTGTTTTTCTGCTCGGGGGGCGTGTGGCTTTTTTCCTTTCTCGCCCGCAGAAAGCGAGCGAGCGTTTCCGAGTGCGAGCGGCGCCACTTGCCCCAGTTTTCATGCGAGGTTTTGGGTCATGATCACATCGCCCTCGCTTTCTGCTATAAGAAGTAGTAAGCGCAGCAGCAGTCTCAGCGAGCCCGGAGGCAGCCCCCGCCGCAGCCGCAGCGCCGCCGACCTCGCCGGGCCGAACGGGCACGCTGGGAATAACGGCAGCAGCGCCGCCGCCAAGCCCTGCTTCCACGCCGTCCCACCCTCGGACCCGCTACGCCAAGCCAACCGCCTTCCCATCAAAGTCTTGAAAATGCTTACGGCGCGGACTGGACACATTTTACACCCTGAATACCTGCAGCCTTTACCCTCCACGCCCGTCAGCCCCATCGAGGTAAGGACATCGGAACCAGTCCCGGCCCCCGTCGCTTTCTCCCGTCCCTGCCCGGGCGCTCGTTGTGCATGGCGGCTCCGCCAGCCGCCCTCGGCACTTTCCTGCGCTTTGAAATGCATTTACACCGGGATAGGGGCTTCTTTTGATCTCGAGTTAGTGCGAGGAACTGCTCCTGGGTATTGTTTTCATGTTTACCGGGATAATGTCTAGTTCCTGTATGAATTAAGTTTCTCTTTTTGCTATTTTGAGCTTTTTTTTTTCCCTTTTTTTTTTTTCCTTTTTTTCTTTGAGAGGAGGGGTGAGGGGAAGGAAACGACCCGCGCTGGGGTCACGATCCGGCCACGCAAATAAGCAAGCGCTCCGAGTGCCAAACAACCTTGCTTTTGAAGGCAGCATTTTGGGTTTGGGGGGGGGACACAGGACGGGACGACACGACGCAGAGAGGGAAAGGCTCAAACGTGGGTGCGGCAGGATAACTATTTCGGGTCCCCGACCGATTCCTTTCAAGTACCGACACGCATTTGTACTTCAGAGGCCCTGTTAGTCCCTTTTCTTCTCTGTCGAGATTGCCGGTCCCCCTTGGCGTAGCTCGCTGTTTGCGGGACCGAAACTCGAAACGGAGCGGGGTGGTGGGAAGGGTGTGTCCGTGGGAATGAATGATTTCATTAAGGTCTCTGCGGAGCGAGGACACCCCTCTCCCGGGCAGCCCGGCTCGCTGGATAACTCGGGCTCTGTTTATAAATAGTGTCACCAGTCAGGGTGCAGAAATGCTGCAGTCGCTATAGTTCAGAGGCGGGTTTGCGCGCCCGCACGGCCGGAGCGACGCCGAGCGAGCTCCTCGCTGCCCGGGCCGCTGCCAGGGAGGAAGGGGGCACTGAAGGCGGCCACGATGGGCTCCCAGGAATACGAAAATCCCCAGCCCTTTTTAAGGGCTTTACGGAAAATGGTGCATTCAGGGGAGGGGGCTGTCAAGGTGATGAATGCGCACGAAATTATTATTTACTTCCAGACTGTACTCTGCAAAAACCTACGGGACAAGAGTCGTAGGTGTGCACTGGGTTTTTTCTTAGACCCCGATTAAATCTCTGTCTTTGTGTGTCCTTCTGATTTCCGCAGCTAGATGCGAAGAAGAGTCCCCTGGCCCTTTTGGCACAAACTTGCTCGCAGATAGGGAAGCCGGACCCGTCCCCTTCATCCAAACTCTCTTCGGTCACCTCCAATGGCTCCGGAGGCGACAAGGACTCCAAGTCGGGCCCCTTGAAGCTCAGTGACATCGGCGTGGAGGACAAGTCGAGCTTCAAGCCGTACTCCAAGCCGGGCGCGGAGAAGAAGGAGCCGGGGGCGGCAGGCTGCGCGGGCGCCCCCGCCGCGGGGGTCGCGGCCGGGGAGAAGTCGGGATTCCGGGTGCCGAGCGCCACCTGCCAGCCGTTCACCCCAAGGACAGGCAGCCCCAACTCCAGCGCCTCCGCCTGCTCGCCGGGGCTGCTGCCGGCCGAGGGCAAAGGCGGGGAGGACAAAAAAGACTCGGAGGGCTGCGGAAAGAGCGGCAACTCCGGCTCGGAGGGAGGCCCGGGCACCACCAGCATCAGCCACAGCCGGATTAGCGTGAGCTGTGCCGGGATTAACGTGGAGGTCAACCAGCACCAGGAGAGCACGCCGGGCTCCAAGCCCATCGCATCGGACTCCGCCTCCTCCTGTAGCAGCACCACCGCCACCTCCTCCACCTCCGTCCTGGGCTCCGGCCTCGTGGCCCCCGTCTCCCCTTACAAGCCGGGACAGACCGTCTTCCCCCTGCCCCCGGCGGGCATGAGCTACCCAGGGACGCTGGCTGGAGCCTACGCCGGCTACCCGCCTCAGTTCCTGCCGCACGGAGTGGCTCTGGACCCCACCAAATCCTCCAGCCTGGTGGGAGCCCAGCTGGCCGCCGCCAGTAGCCTGGGCTGCAGCAAGCCGGCGGGGTCGAGCCCGCTGGCGGGCGCGTCGCCGCCGTCGGTGATGACGGCGAGCCTGTGCCGAGACCCGTACTGCCTGAGCTATCACTGCGCCAGCCACCTGGCAGGCGCCGCCGGCGCCTCCTGCGCCCACGACCAGGCCCTCAAGTCCGGATACCCCCTCGTCTACCCCACCCACCCTTTGCACAGCGTCCACTCCTCGCTGACCGGCGCCACGCCACCCTCGCTGGCCGGCCACCCTTTGTACCCCTACGGCTTCATGCTCCCCAACGACCCCCAGCCGCACATCTGCAACTGGGTGTCGGCCAACGGACCCTGCGACAAGCGCTTTGCCACCTCGGAGGAGTTGCTTAGCCACTTGCGGACCCATACTGCCTTCCCTGGCACTGATAAACTCCTCTCCAGCTACCCCAGCTCCTCGTCGCTGGCCAGCGCGGCGGCCGCAGCCATGGCATGCCACATGCACATCCCCACGACGGGCGCCCCGGGCAGCCCGGGCACGCTGGCCCTGCGCAGCCCACACCACGCGCTGGGACTCGGCAGCCGCTACCACCCTTATTCCAAGAGCCCCCTGCCCACCCCTGGGGCCC